TACTTGTGTGCTTGCGCCCCTTGGAGGCATCTTGTTCGTGTCCAAACTGTAATCTTTATATTCGATAAACTCCCCTTTTTGGAACTTTGTTCCAAGAGGTTTGTCCCTTACACAATCGTCTGATCCCTATTTAATTATTAGCGAGTAAACGCGCGAAACAGCTTCAATATCGGCTTCGATGGTGGCCCAAATCCACAGAAACCACCGCCGGCCGCCGGCTTCTGGTGTGGACTAAAAGGCTCGTTTAAGCCTTGAACTGAGAGAGCCCAGTTGCCATTTTTGCTTCTGGAAGCAAATGTGAGATGAAATTCATAGAATTTCGCAATTGAAAATTCTACACGTTCATCTGCCAAGTCATCAAATTATTAAGATTTTCAATTAAATTCCATGGGACACATGTGAGAGGGTTGTGTACCAAATGTGTAAATGTAGCAAATTTGATTTTTTAATGGTGCATGTTCCATGATTGGTTTCATATAAAATGTGGGGGCCCACGTTGATCACAATAATGGTTTTATTATAAACTAATGCTCTCGTGTTGCATGCGATATTATTTAGCTAAAAATTACAAAAAAATTAAGTTAAAATTAATAATTTTAATCAACCATTTCATGAAATTCACACAACTTTTAATCAATTTTTCACTCACACATGAATCTTATTCCATGAATACGATGTCCATCTAGTGTGGTCCATATGACAAAGGAGAAGTATTTGTATTAATCGGGTCGAGTTGAACATTCAATTACTTCAATTTGATCTATTAAGTTCTTGTTTGGTAAATTTTTATTTTAAAAATCATTTTTCTCTAACTATTTCAACTGCACATTTTTTCAATAAAACAATTTTGCACGTGAACTCATAATTTTTCTCTACATTTTTTCACACATTCTCCAAAATCTATGCATTGTCAACAGTTAGGCATTTTATTTTTGTTTCCTTCTTGTATAATTATCAAATCAGTTTAATACACGGTCAAAAGTTAGGTAGTGGTTTACTTTGCTGCGGAGATCAGCAATTCCAGTCCATTTATATGATAGTGCCAATTTTTTTCTATTCATCATTTCGATATATAATTTTATATTCATAGACGTTGATATATTCTATCCATTTAGTGGCACCTTAAGATAATATAGTCTTACAAAGACGAGGTTCAAATGAAGAAACTCTTATGGTGGATACCTGACACCCAAAGTTGGTATTGCTCGAGTGTGCTTAGGCTTAGCTCTCACTCAAGTGACATAAAGGCATGCTCTCAGTAGTTTAGCCTCGCTTGAGCAAGAGAGCATGTCTGCCCTTTTCTTGCACACTAACTTGATTTCATCTTTTAGTCTAAGAATGTAAGAACTCCACGCCACTAATAATGATCTAAAATCATTATTTTGAAAAAATTCTCTAAAATTATCTTTCCTTAAGACTTGAGAAAGAACAAAAAGGTTAAACTTAATGTTCATGCGATTGTCTATATCAGAGAGAACATCAAGCCTTCAATTCCTAAATCAAAGAGAGATTGAAAGATGCATGAATATATATACACAACTTGAAATGACAAAAAAATGTAAAACTGTCAAGTTTAACTTGCATTTTCCTTCATGCAAATGAAGCACCACATTTACTACCTAATTTTGCACACAATGTTTTACTGTTGATAAACTTTACGGATCAAAGATTCCAAACCTACAAACAAAATACGGTCAAAAACACAAGTTTTGTGATCAAATCCTTCATCTTTTGTTTCTATGTGATCATTGATAACTCGAAATACAGTAATCTCCTTCAATACACTTAATGACTGTAGTAATGCCCTTTAGGACAGTAAATGAAGATCATTACTTCTCATACCTGACAAAGCAGCAACTTGCATTTTTGACACCAAAAAATATGAAATAGAGAGAGAAGCCAGCATTCAATTCACAAGGGTGGATCATCCTTGGATAAGTTACTCATTAGTTCTTCCTCTTGGGTAACAGGATCAAGTCGCATCCTCTTTGCAGCACGCTGCATGTCGGATTCCATTACTGACTCGCTGCCAATGTCAACATCATCGAGCATAATATCATCATCATGAGGGGAAGATTGTGGTGAATTCTTCAAAGAACGTGCGAGTGCATCCACGTGATCATTTTGGTCGAGCATTCGAATTGGGCTTTCAGAGTCCGAAGCATCCAACAAAATCTCACCAGAAGCAGAGGCTGGGCAATCAGCAAAGCACTCACGACCCATACCATCACTCAGAAACTCATTTCCTTGATGATAAAATTCCTGCAAATTATTTGGGAAAGAGATGATCGAATGCGCATTATCATTGTGCTCACTTGTTTGATCATGGCAGCGAGATTCTGCAGCATTTGGCATTTTGCCAGAAGCAGAGCCAAAGAACTCGGGCAAGTGCTCTACATTTTCGGGCGATACACATCTTGGCTCCTGTATTTTATCCTCTAAGCTGATTTCTCCAACAGATAGACATTTTTCATCATCCTTCACTTCTAATAAGTTATCGGAATCACAAACTGAATCTGCCGGAGATGAATCAGAATCCTCTAATGCAGCATGGGGAACAGATTCTAATCTAAAATCTCCACACGGGTAAGGAAAGATAGATGCTTCTGCTGTGATATCTGGGTAAGCAATTTCTGCTGGTGTTGTATAGACAAAGTGCCCATTAGCTTCCATCTCTTCCTGTCAAAAACCATACTTACAATGAGAAAAACTCATCTAGTTAAAAATACATGCAAAAATAAATAAATAAGAACTACATTATTCTTCATTTTGGAATTTATCAAACACAATCAACGTTTAAGGAATACTTTTTCAGTTAACTATATACGTTTCTTCTAAAGCTAAAGCAATCTCAATTTAGTCCCTTGCATTCCATTTCAATAAAGTTCTTGAGTTTCAAACTGTTCCAAATGCAGCCCCAAAATTAACTAGGGCTGGACATGTTGAGAGACCCGAACCGAACCAAAATTTTCGGGTATTTAATAAATGGAACCGTCGGATCCAAATATAATTATGGAACCGTTCGGGTTCGATTCTGTTCAACTCCGTACTATAATTAAATTTTTTAACAATTATAGTAATACTACATAAATACAACTAATAACATGTCCATTCGTAGCTTTTACAAATTAAATGCATTGTCTAACATTAAGAATGTTGAATTCCATTTAGTAGGAACATCTCCCACCTCGCATTGTAATTGATTTTTCATTAATAAATTCATATCATACGGCTTGCATTTTCAAGCTAGGATATTTTGCAAAAAAAAAAATCTAGTAGGAACATCTAAAATAGCAAGTTTAATGCATACAATTTTTTCCCTTTCAATACAACATTTAAATTTCATCAACTGCGAAGGAGATGATCGAAAATATTTGACCGCATTACGAATACTTTCTATAGATGAACTAAACTCTTTCAACCCTTCTCTAACAATCAAATTGACTAAACATTTAAATTTCATCAACCGGGAAAAAGATGATCGAAAATATCGAATGAAAGTACGAAATTAAAAAGGAAATGATAAAAACTTAAAAATGTCTCCTAGATCTTGGTCTTAAGAATGAAATAAATAATTGGGCCCAAAAATTGAATTTAGAAATTGGGTTGGGCTGGGACTAGCTAGGCATGGACTTGGCTTGAGAGTTGAAGCATTAATCACTAAATTAGTTAATTTGCTAATTTGTTTAGAAAAAATTAAAATAATTTAATTAATTCAATATAAAAAATTATTTTGATTCGGTTCTCGGTTCTAGACCGAAACGAACCGAATCGAACTCATCGGTTCTTGATTCAGATACCCGTTTGGGTATTTAACTTATGAAGAACCGCTCGGTTCGGTTCGGGTTGGGTTCAATTCGAGAGTTTTGTCCAACCCTAAAGTTAACCGTTCGTCATAATCAAACAGAAAATAAATTATGTGACACATGCGCACTACTAAACAAGAGCAAATCATTAAAATGCTAATAATTCTTAACCAAACAAAACACCAATTGTCAGATTAGAGTTCCAGTTTTTTTGTTCTTCTGAAACTGGAACATAGATAAATCCTACATGAAATGAAACCCAGAAGTCGATGAACCTTTCAAACCAAAGGACAACAGTTGAAACCTCAATTTACGTCAAAAGGCTTCATAATTTTTTTTCTTGCAGAGTGGTTGGAATGAGGTTGAATCAAGACATGCCGAAGTGAAATATAGGAGCTGGGCAAAAATATTTCATGCAAGGAGGAAAAATGAGGTGGTGTGAAGGTGAGGTGGGAACTGAAGAGGGATGGATTGACATAATCACAATTGTATACAAATTGAGAAGAAAGAGAGGGGAAAGAAAGAAGAGGAGACAAGAAGGATATTAAAGAGAACGGGAGAGAGCCGTGAGGTTAGAGAGAGAGAGAGAAAATATTCATGTATTCAATATCAAAGTGTTAATAAAAACAAGCACTAGCCTTCTTTAACACAACCAATTTAAGAAACAACATACTCCCTCCGTCTATCATTCCGCTTTGGACCGCGCGTGGAGTGACAACCCGAGAAAAATCGGTAAATTTCCCATTTATATAGGCATACTTTCCTTATTTTTCTTGTCACGATTATATAGTCATGTTTCTTTATTGAAAATATTTTATTTTGTTCGTTTACTAATATACCCTTATTCAATTTGCCTAGTTATAATTTACTACCACTAGTTGTTGATAATTAAATAGGGATAAACTAAGAAAGTATTTGACAAAAATTATTTTTTCAATAACATTAAGCCTCAGTTTGTTTCTCATTTTTCATCCATAAAAATGAAAAATATGACCGTTATCCATTACATCAAGCCATCAATTTTGAATCTCTTATGTGAAGCCTAATAATGCTATATTTTTCATTCTCATTCTACAATAATGAGAATCAAACGGGCCTAAATAAGATTTCTTAACCCATATGAAAAACTAAACCAGCCTATATAAATAGGACGGATGGAGTATTACATAAGAATAAGATCTAAAATTGTCTTGAATTGCAAAAAGATTAACTCTAGTTAACTTTACGTTTCCACCTCAAATATCATTTTAACGCTGCACCAAGAACAGCTTAGGAAAGTCTAGTTCATCCACCACAAGAAAGAGATTGAACAAAAAATGGTGAGTAAAAATCTCTCTCGTTAATATTTGAACGAAACTAGCCCTACAAAATTTCACTTGCACTCCTAAAAAGCTAGTTTTAGACCTAAATGTCAATATTAGAATATTTATAGGAATAACTGTAGAAGATGAAGACAAGAAAGAGAGGAAAAAACTTTATTATTTTTCACCTTACCCTACTGTACAATGAAGACTTCTATTTATAATACAAAAGGAATAACCTACAAAAGGAAACTAAATCTCCTACAATCTCTAACAACCATAATATTCTATCTATGGTAACTAGAATCAAGATATATTTTTCCTCAATAAATCGGGATTTCATCACTCCCCCTCAAGTTGGATCATAGATGTTAGTCATATCCAACTTGAATATGAAATCATCGAATTTCTGTCTAGGCAGTCCTTTGGTGAAAACATCTGCAATCTGTGCTTGTGTAGGGACATATGTCATGCAAATAGTTCCTTCCTCAACTTTTTCTTTAATAAAGTGTCTATCCACCTCTATATGCTTAGTTCGGTCATGCTGAACTGGATTGAGAGAGATGTTGATTGCCGCTTTATTATCACAGTAGAGTTTGATTGGCAACTTTATAATAACATGTAATTCTTCCAAAAGCTTTCTCAACCACAATCCCTCGCATATTCCTTGTGCAGCTGCTCTAAACTCGGCTTCTGCACTACTTCTGGCTACTACATTTTGTTTCTTGCTTCTCCACGTTACTAAATTTCCCCAAACAAAGGTACAATAACCAGTAGTAGACCTTCTATCTTCTATTGAACCTGCCCAATCTGCGTCTGTGAAAACTTCTACTTCTTTCCTTTCACTCTTTTTGAAG